AATTAAATACTGATAATCAATAAAAATAACTTACAATCTAAAATTTTAAATTATTTTTTTAAATAAAAAATTTAGTTAAGTTTAAATTATAGTAAAAGTAAAATTAAACACTGATAATTAATAAAAATAACTTACATTCTAGAATTTTAAATATTTTATAAATAAAAAATTTAGTTGAGTTTAAAATTATAGTAAAAAGTAAATTATATACTGATAATTAATAAAAATAACTTACTAACTAGATATTGTTTTAAATAAAAAATTTAGTTAGTTTAAAATTATAGTAAAAAGTATAATTAAATACAGTAAAATGTAAAATTAAATACTAATAATCAATAAAATCAACTTACAAACTATTATTATTGATTATTAATTGTTTTTTAAATAATATAATTAGTTGAGTTTAATTATAGTAAAAAGTATAATTAAATACAGTAAAAGTAAAATTAAATACTGATAATTAATAAAAAATAACTTACATTCTAGAATTTAAATATTTTATAAATAAAAAATTTAGTTGAGTTTATAATTATAGAAAAAGTATTAATAATCAATAAAAATAACTTACCATCTATTATATTATTAATCATTAATTATTGTTTTAAATAAAACATTTAGTTGAGTTTAAAATTATAGTAAAAAGTATAATTAAATACTGATAATCAATAAAATTAACTTACCATCTATTATATTATTAATCATTAATTATTTTTTTAAATAAAAAATTTAGTTAAATTTAAATTATAATAAAAAATAAAATTAAATACTGATAATCAATAAAATCATCTTACCGACTATTATATTATTGATTATTAATTATTTTTAAATTATAGTAAAAAATAAAATTAAATACTGATAATTAATAAAAATAACTTACGTTCTAGAATTTTAAATATTTTATAAATAAAAAATTTAGTTGTTTAAAATTATAGTAAAAGGTATAACTAAATACTGATAATAAATAAAATCAAATTACCAACTATTATATTATTGATTATTAATTATTTTTATAAATTACAGTAAAAGTATAATTAAATACGATAATCAATAAAAATAACTTGCTTTCTAATATTTTTCAAATATAAAAATTAGTTGCAGTACAGTAAATAAAATAGAAACGACAATATGGGAGCGTTTCCAGTAAAATCACATTACGGATCATATGATTTACTATTCCTCATAACTTGATTTTACTGGAAACGTTCCCAATATATTAACTTACTCTCTATAGCGATAGTATTTGGTGTATATTGATTTATTTTTTTTAAAAAAAAATTTTGTTAAAAATTATTCAATTAAATATATAATTAAACATTAAAAATATATTACGTTCTAACATTATATATTTAATTAATAAAAAAATTAAATTATATATAAAGAATATAATTAAATACAAATATTATTAAAATTAACTTACTTTCTAATATTTGATGGTTTTCAAATAACAAATTAGTATCTTAAGTTAAATAAAGTATAATCAACAAACGAAACTTACTTACTCGCTATAGTAAAATGTGTTTTTTTTAAGAAAAAGAAAATTTTAGCTGAATTAATAAATTATTCAAATGAATCTTTCGATGCGAAAGATGACTTTTGATCACACTTTAAGAATAATATTTTGATTTAGTTATCTAAAAAAATGTATACAATCTAGTTCATCTAATTTAGAAGATTCCCTGGAATCCAAAACAGGTTCTAAAATTTGAAAATTGATTATTTAATATTTTCGTTTTTATTTCAAATAAATTTACTTATTTAGAAACGTTAATGGTCAAAATATACCAATTTCTTCTACATCAAGTTCTCTTTTTTTTCCCTTCTGGGGAGGTATATTTTTTTCAAGCGGTTTTGTACTTTTTGACATTGCAATAAAGTTGAAGAAAAAAATTAGAATGAGTATAATTATAAATATGATCACTACAGGATTACACAATGCTGTTACTCCTTTTGTAAATTTTAGTACATCACATGTACACGCATAATTCCGGAAATAATCTATTGATAAAATTAACATTCTGGGGAGAAAACATAACGATAAGCGAGATTTCTTTATTATGATAGCACAGTTAAAATTTTGAATCAGGAAGTAAGTAACACGAATGAGAAATTTTAAAAAAAATCATTATCATTCTTAACGTTTTTATTCCATAAAGGAAGTTTTCGTACATAAAATATGCAGGATTCGAACTTTGACTGCGGCACTGACGATCATTCTCTCTATCTTTTAAGGCAGATCTGTTGGAAATAACAATTCGGGCCTTTCTAATAATTCGAACTGATGGAATATAAATGTCAAATTGACATCAAGGATCAATTAAATGTCTTCCGTCATTCAGCCGCAATAAAATTGATATTATAATGAATTCCGTAACAAAGCCATATAAAGGAAATTTTAGCTATAAAAATACTTCGTTTTGCTCTTAGATTTCGAGATGATTTGAACAAGATTGACTTAATAGCTCTAATCTCTTTAAATGCATATCTCAGAGCGCCGTTGATGCAGTAATAGTTGTTTTCTTTGTATTTTTGTTAATAAAACTATTTTTTTTTTTATCTTTTGTAAAATCCATTTCATTCTGAAACTTGACTGCAAGCGTGAAAGCATTAAGCGATAATTCAGCATTAAACAAGAGGACACATTTAGGAACAGTTCATGCCCTGCCGGCACATGAACAAATTCTTGGTCAAGCATTATGACCGCGCTTATATTTTTTGATATGCCATAAATTATTACATAAGCAAAATAAAATAAATAAAGTTATATATTTGTGAAGGTAAATCACGAAACCTGCTAAACGAAGTTCGTGTATATGTTTCACTCATATTATTTTATTTATTTTATTCATTTCGTATTGGATTGCTTTGACATACAGAAGTTATGCGATATAACCAAATTATTATTATTTTTTTAATATTGATAGCATCGGTATACAATGGATATGCAATATAACCAAATTATTATTATAAATGAATTTGCGTGCATTATTATTATCAGATCTAAATCAATTAACAACTGCCTACATTTGTTTCCGATATATTCTTTTGCTATAATATTTGCATAATAGTGTATTCGCTCTGAATAAATCCTTCTGCTATAATGCTTTGCATATTGTTGCATATACTTTCAAACCACAGCAATTCTTTTAATCTTTTGTTTTAGTTCATGTGTTAGTAGGGTTAGATCGGTCCTAGAAAAGATGGTCCGCGGACTGGTTAATGAATCAGTCTTTGCAGTCCTCGGTCCATAATCTGAAGACAGTCTGGACTGATTATCAAACAAATCGATTTCTCATCCAATATAAATGCAACAAGTTTAGAACACAACATATTTAAGTTTGTGTTCCAAAATGATCAAATGTATCTAATGTAGTCAAACTTGTCAAATACTTGATTAAAAGAATTAAAAAATTATTTTTCATTAGAATATAAATAAACGTTCATACATAACCATTATGAAAAAAATGGATACTTCCCAATAAAGTCACGTTCAGGATTTAATTTATGAAAGTTTATTATTGTAATAAATTTCAAAACTTAGTTTTACGCATCTTCTTAGTTTTATGCATCCTCTAAATAATATTGGTAATATCCATTCTATTACTGAATCCAATCCAATCATCCGCTCTATCACAAATTGTTTGAAGATATTCATATTTATAAAAAAAACCACCCTGCACTGAATAGGTGTGGAGTCAGGTGAAGCAAATAAAATTGGAGTATATCACATGAAATGATGTTAAGTATATTTTTTTATACTAAACTGACCTAATCTAACCTTAACAAACATTCAGTATAAAAAACCATACTCAATGCCTGTTTACGTGACATACTCTAATCATTATTTTGATATTATTCCACTTCTTTTTGGAATACCTTCTTATCACATCCACCCACTATAATATATAATGTTATCACTCATGTCATAGTGTGTGGCGAACTTAATTGTTCAGTAAGAGCTTGATTAGAGAACAAAAAAAAAGAGCAAATAGAAAAGGAAGATTGATTTTATGCAAAATAGACTCATATCGAAACGTAAAGTTAATCTATTATAAAGAAAAGGAAAATAATGTGAAAATTAGCAGGAAGTGACACACTCGCATTCCATGTCTAGGGAAGCAAATTCCTTTAAGCGACTATTCCTTGAGCCTCGCTATGCTAACAATCTTATAAACTGTATCATTAAAACTTTGGTAATACATTAAAAATCTTTGTCAACCTAAAAGAAATATCTTTTTCAAATCTTTCAAGAGCAAATGTAAAAACTAAGAAATAAACAAATGGAATCTGTACTTATTTATATTGAAATGTGAAAAATGTGGAATTTTGGGATTCATGTTCATTATCGAATAATAATTATGGAATATACTATACATATATGGTTGATCGCACATTACATATTATACGATACGCGCGACTTTTGGTTTTGTTATTTATTTTTTCAACCTTTAAAATAGTAATACCACAAGCTTCATCATCAATCACATATTTGTTACTTTGCAGTTGATCACCAACAAAATCGATTAATCACGTGATAACGAGGATTTCGTAAATTTATTCTAAAAAAAATCTATAATAAAATCGTTATAAAATTATTGTTAAAATACTATAAATTAAATAATATCATTATAATAAATTATAAAATAGAATACCTGTTACAATAGCAAATTGCTAGCGACATTTTTGCTGTTTCCGTATAGTCGCTATATTCTTTGTCATCCTATCCAAAGATTTCGTCGGTACTGCTTGAATCTATTTATAATAAACATTTTTCGAATGAAACTTTGTAAATTATGCAAAGGTTTTGAGCTCTTAAATCAGTCATGTTCGTTCTGTTTAACCATTTTGCAAGACGTATATTGTTAAAGTTTCATTGACGAATAAAATATTTCATCTTATAAAGGATGAGATATATAAATATCTGTAAACAATAAAAATAAATAAATTATTACGACAAAAATTATCCGAAAACTTTCATGTTACGATTCGCAATAACGTAATCCTTGTACTGTATGATTAAATGATGGATTAATTTTTTCGTTATTTGTATGCGTAATACATTGTTATATTTAATCATGCTAAACATGTATAGTAAAGATTTTGATACGATTATATTAATGGCAGAAACAAAATATTCTAAATATTCTTCAAGCAATTGAAAGTATTTGTAAAATAAATAAAAATAAAATATATTAACCCTAATACAAGCAGAATTAATAAATAAATAGTGTGCTAAATATCAGTCTATTATTGTAGGACACATCTTAATCTTCAATTAAATCTTTAGCTGATTTATTAGCTCTCAAACCGCAAATATAAATAACAAAAATTATTCTTTATTGTCCTTTATAAATTCAAGTAATCGGATTTCTCTAATGTTATAAAATACAAGAAGCTCGATAGACGGGAAGACAATTATTAAAATCGATGTCCAGTTGAGTCTGTTCAATATTCTTCTTTATAGGAATAACTTTGTTGGTAAATCGTTGGCTGAGTTGAAACTTTATAAAGAGTTAGATGAAGTTCATAAATATGAGGTTCTTTATAATATTATCCGTAAAAGAGAATATCATTCTATGTGATGACGAGGAGAGAATATAATTGATTCTGGAATGACTACTTTTGAAAATTTTAGATAAAAACAACTAAAAGAGAAAAAGGATTACTACTGTTTATGCGATAAGTTAGTAAGATTAGCTAGGAAATGTATAAATCACTTATGAAACTTTTTTGAATAATAGAATTCGTATGAGAAATACATAAATTTTACATAACCGAAAAATATATTTTGTATAATCCCTCTCTATTCATCGTATGATTCATCATGCGTTAATTAATAAATCACGGGCGATGAATTCATTTTTATATACAAATAGAAAGAGATAAGTCAGTTTATTAATTATGACACGTTCATTATCTAAATTTAAGCAAATAATTAATACTAATCGCCTTCAAATGCTTCTGCCAATAGATATCAGTCACTGGACATGTCGCATTGGTCAACTAATTAAATCAAAACTATATGTAGTACCGTATAAAAATTTACTATTGAAGATTTTTTTGCATGTAAAAAAATTTTAATTTTTTCGTCATACAACTACATTTATATTTACAAACTATCAGTTATTTTATCATAAATGCTATCAATAAATTATGTTTTATAGATTTTACTTTAAACATTTTTTAATAATTAATCATTTATCAAGAATTTGTTTAAGAAGAGTTGATGCAGTATTAGGCCTAAATTGAACTTCTTGGAGTGGAGTTTTTCTTGGTTTAGTTCTTTGTTTTCGTATATCTTTTAATCCATTGTTCAGATTTTCTTTTGCAATTTTACCTGATGACAAATGAAGCTTTGATTGTTTTACTGTTGGTGACATATTCGGATGTGTTTTCAAATCTATTTTGTTAAATAATCCTTCTACTTGTTGTTGGTGGATAACAATAAAATAAATATTACTTTTAACTAAATCATAAAGATTAGGAAATTTGTATAACTTTGGATCATCGCAACTACAGAATTGTTCAAATTCTTCAAGAAAATCATTATTATTTAATAACAATTCACGTAAACCAAAGTCATTTATTATTCTATTGTTATATCATCTTCCAAATCTGTGCAAAACGTAATTCCAAATCTGAAGGTGGAAAAACCCAAGGTTTTGAAGAATTATATGATAAAAACTAGATGCAAATGGTTGAGCATTATAAATGACGAATGTGTGTCAAAGGTTGATCGTTTACCATTTAAAATTAAGTACATAATTATGTAATAATATGAAAATTTGCATGAAAATTGAGAATTATTTCAAACCTTTTGCATCATACTACTTGAATTTATTGCGTCATGTGCCCAAATATTTTTTAACTTCTCAAAAGTCTATAGTGCATCATCAGTTGGTGTAGGTGTTTATTTTATTAAAAAAAAGATGTATCGGACTTTTTTTTAAATTTTATGAAAAAATATATATAAATATAAATTGTATAACGTTTTTGATATTTTCATTTGCGGTTACGAGATATAGCCGCAAAAGAGATTTTTTATTAAAAAAAATTTATAATTCTCCTGCAACTGGTTGAGAGGAACCAAGTCGTTTACCAAATCCGTTATGATGTTAGCTTCATTTTTTTTTAAACTATATGTAATATTTTTTTTAATCTTTCCGATACCGGCAAATGAAGGATAGAGAGATAAGCATAAATCGTTTTACTTTAGTAATCATTCTGCGGGACTATATAAATCATATGATCAAAACCTGATTTTTGTATATAATAACTTACGTAACTGGGTACATCAACAAAACTATAGTGGTTTCTGAAACCGAATTTTCGCGTTTAATGGTTTATTTTCCAGGAAAGTTTTAAGTTGTTTCTAAGTAAAGAGGTATCATGAGTATTTTCGTAAACAAACAGAGTAACTCGCCGTAAAAGAAAGGTGATATGGGAACGTTTCCAGTAAAATCAAGTCATAAGGCATAGTAAATCATATGATCCGTAATGTGATTTTACTGGAAACACTTCCATATAATTCGCTACCTGCTTGCAAATGCAGAATGGGAAGGAGGTATGGAGAATCTGAAGAGGGCTACAGATCCTACTTGGTCGCCTTCTATTCATAAAATTCGAAAAGTTGTCAAGACGATCCCGTAATGTAAAAGAGGTAGTCATATTTTTAAGTTATAATCAAAATCCTTTGGTTGCTTTGTGAGTTCGTCTTGGCTATACCAGGGAGATTCCGCAGGATCGACTGCCCATTTGGTTGTTGGTTTATGTCCACAAAAACATTGCTTTTGTGAGTTCGCCTAGGCTATGCCATAATGATTCCGCAGGATCGATTGCCCATTTGGTGGTTGATTTATGTCCACAAAGACAATTAAAGAAGTTTCTTGGTTTCCTTAAATAAGGTCTACTGACTCCGGAGGAGGAGTCATTTATGCACGTTCCTTATTATAATATAAACAAACTTATATTCTAATGAAAATATTACTACTTAATGAATACTGACTGTTATTAACGAAATCTTTTATAATAGAGCAACAAAGAGAATGTCAACAATGAAGAGGAAGCTAACTTAATTAATAAAATCGTGAACATTGGATCCGGAATTTCTCGACATAAAATAATATTTCTTTCAGAAGAAAATGATCTTGACCCGATCAAGTCAACACTTAGTAGAGAAGAATGAATAGAATTGGAAGTGGATTGGTGCAAGGTTGTAGTCATAATTTTTTAAAAATTTAATATAATTTGGGTTATAGATGATTAAAAAATAATGAAAATTATAATTAATAAATTTTTATTTTTATTTTAATAGAATTATTGACTAATTTGATTTAAATTATATCAAATTTTAATATATGGGTGCGTTATTAAAATTGAGGTACGGATCATATTATTTACTATATCTCGTACCTCAATTTTAATAGAATACCACCCATATTTCTTCCAGAAGAAAATGATCTTGACCCGATCAAGTCAACACTTTGTAGAGAAGAATGAATAGAATTGGAAGTGGATTGGTGTAAGGTTGTAGGTTTAATTTTTTAAAAATTTAATATAAATTGGGTTATAGATGATTAAATAAATAATGAAAATTATAATTAATAAATTTTTTTTTTAATTTAATAGAATTATTGACTAATTTAATTCAAATTTTAATATATGGGTGGTGTGCTATTAAAATGGAGGTACGGATCATATGATTTACTATATCTCGTACTTCAATTTTAATAGAATACCACCCATATTATATATAAATATTAATTTTATAATATATAAAGATTTGATTTTTATATAGGTTATTAATTATCAAAAAATTATTAAATATGATGTAGTTTTTAAATCATAGAAATTTGCAGGAAAATTTGCTTGCTTATTTATTATAAATTTTCTTTTGATTTACTTTTATAAATATGTAATATATTATAACAAGTTTTATCTTTTTACATAATAAAAAATTTAAGGTTACCTATAAGCTAAATATTGTAATTTAAAACTCTTTTTAAATTAAAAAATTTCATGTTTAATTTATGACAATCTTTAAATTTTTAATATAGATCAAACTTCAACGTGAAGTCGATTTTTATGATAATGTCATTTTATTTGATTTTAAAAAATTTGAAGGGAAAAATCAGCATGTAGAAAAGTTTTATTTTTTATTATTAATATATTTAAAGTCATTAATTAATATGTAGAGAAAACATTATATATTTATACAAATATTAATTTTAATAAAAGATGTTTGAATTCTAAATTTTCATTTATAATTATTCTCTTCACCATTTGTTAATTTCCTTAATAAATTATTCCTTTCTTCTATGCTTAATGTTTCAAAGAATTTTTCAAAACCCTGGAGAACTGCTTTCGAATTAATCTCACTCATATCTAAAATATTTTGCGCTATAGCTTCATTTCTAATTTGTTCAATTCTTCATTAATCGTTATTTTCGGTATTACAGTAATATCATCATCATCATTCGAATCTATCACTACCATCATCCAAGGTTTTTTCAAACCATTTCACAATTTCTTCATCAGATTCTTTCATGATTATCGCTTTCAATATTATTATCTTTTTTAAACCAATTTATTAAGTATTGTTTCAGTTCGTTCTAGTCAATTTATCATTTGCCTTGATCAAATCTCTAAATATGTACTCTTCTTCGAACACGCCAATAAAAGAATCTTCTAGATTCCTTCAATTCTAACGATGTTCTTATCGTTTCTATGGATTTCATTCTTCCTGGTGTATCATGTAAAATCTGCAAATTGAATCGCTATTCGTGAATATATCGGTAATAATTCTTGTTCCTTGCATCCAATTGTAATTTAATTTCTCGTTTTTGTGATTTAGATATTGTCGGATCATTTAATGATTTCTTAAGATTACGGTACATTTCATCTAACCTTTCTTGTTGCAAGCAATTGTGACTTTCTGAATTTGATTTCAACAATTCCTTGGGGTTCAAGTACATCAGCTCTTGATTTTGCATCGGCATACATTTCTATCATATCATCGTTAATGGTAGGATCTATTACAACCCAAGCACCACCACGAAGTTCTCCATTAGGAACAATATAAACAAATACATGCTGCTTGTAGTTGGTAAGTGCATATATTTTAGAATCTCTTGAAACATGTCCTTTTGACCGCCTGAAAATCCACGCCAATTAGCAAAAATCATTAAGGGTAATTGTTCGCCTTTGTTAAAATCATTAATCGCTTGAGCAGTCTTATAGGCTGAATTAAGGTGACAAACTTGTCCGGAATTAGCCGGATCGGCTGGAACTATACTTTCGACAGTACGACTATAACACCCACTGGAATTCCACCAAGACGTGCGCGTCCTACTACAACGGTCCTCGGCCATCCACTTAAAGTTTCAACAAAGGAACTTTATCAAAAAATCCACTAACCCAACTTTTGGGATCTCTCTCAATCTCATATTTGCCCGCAATTAACCATCTTGGATCGTAAGGCCCTTTGGGAGGCATATAATTAACATCCCTGTCCCAAGTACCTGAATTCATAAATCTTGGTACAGGAGAATTTCGAACGGCTGGAACGTAAGAAGCCATTGCATAATCTTTGTAATACCCTCCAAATATTTTTGTGCAGTCAGATGTGAACTCCATTCTTAAACATAATTTGCGTACCCCCAAGTTGTAGATTTCCTGTATAAACTTCTCTTCTCAACACTTTATTCAATGCTGGTGCTCTGGTTAATATTATGAGTTGACCCTCATTTTGAATTGTACGCTGTCCCAACCTTACTAAGTAAGCTCCAATACCTTAATCAAAATAATAAGGTTAAAGAAAAAACTTTTTTTTAAAAAATTGACTTGCAATGAATACATACCGATGAATGACAAGTAACTAACTTTATTGTGGAAATGTCCTCATATTCTCGCGATATTATCCCAGCGATTAATTATTAACCCTTCAAACATTCAACACCAAGCCCATCTTTTGATCCAATAATGTTGGTGATTTTATGTCGTGTTTCTCCTTCCTCAACAATTTCTTCCGCGATAACAGATTTCCTTCACTTTTGATGTAATTGCTTATATGTCTCTGAATCAAGATAAAGATATTTGATACCTTTGTTTGGATTTCCTTTATCAATCCATGCAAACGTTAAAATGATTAATAACTTCTTCAGCCAATCAAATCCTTGCACCAGAATTTGCTGACAAGTATACTCTAGGTATTCCCAATGATCTTGCCAATTCGGTTGCTTTGTAGAAGGGTGAAAAGAGTAAAGATCCATGCAACCATATCAAATGAATTCGTTCCCTAAGCCTCTCACTTTTTGTAAGTTAATATTCTTGTTAAACACGTTCTTTGGCTACAAAACATCACTAGGATATTTAAGGTTTGAGATGCACGATTCCATAGTATGCTTATAGCTTGGCGAAATAATTCGGAAAAATCGTAAGCGTAGGTGGTACCCATTAAATGAGCCTTATAACGCATTTGGTTGAAGCCATTCTCTTGTTAGGTAAGGTGTGTGGATTGGTTGTAAGTGCATTGAACCTGTCGCCAATTGATTTAAGGACCTAGCTTTCAAGTTCTGTCTTCACTTCCTGATAAGTTTCTACTTTAATAACAT